CTGCTGGTTCCCCTGAAAAACCACTAACCAGTTTGGCCAAACTGGTCCAAACCAGTAGGAACCCACCACTGGTATCGGGACTATTTTCCCCTTCACTAAACTGGCGTGGATACGGCCAGTGTTTGAAGCATCCAGCACACAGGCTCGGAGTTTGACAGCCCTGCTCTAGAGTGTGAGGGCTGGTCACCTTGTATGAACTCCTTACAGCAGCTGCACATTTTCTCAAGATAATGGTGCGAGTGCTTGCAATGAAATTCAGAGGGAAAATGGGGGTTACCCTCAGGTGCATCCAAGCATGTGCCAAAGCTGGGCACATTTTCCTTTCAACTTAAAACATTGCCCTATCCGGAAAGCACTGGGGGGGGGGGCTTCCCCAACAATTACATCAACTTGCGCCTGGTCAATCTGTGGGATTTGCAGAGCCCTTGACAAGGCCGTTGCACTGCCATCAACCCAGAAATTCCTAAGTTCCTGGGAACTGAAAGAAATAAAACGACTGAAAAGACCTGTAGAACACCAATAGTGGCAAATCAGATATGGACGCAAGTGAGCCCTGGGTAAGAACTCACGTTTAGCCTTGCATAGTGATGGGAACATTCTTTTCCACCCTGACCGCAATTGCAGGTCCTAACCCAGTGGCCTTGCTAAGAATTATTCAAACCCTTTTGGTGGAAAGGCAGATAGAATCCTGCCTGCAGACGTACCGGATAAAATTTATTTAATAAAAGTACCGTATTTTTCGTTCCGTAAGATGCACATTTTTTGTCTCCCAAAAGTGGCTGGAGCTGCTTCTGGATTCTCAGTTTTGGCTGGTGTGCCAGTTACAACCTTCTTTGTAACTCACACCATCATGTCTGTGCATCTTATGGAGCAAATATTGCCAAATCCCTGCCCACCTGCCACCCACCACCCTTTGGCCATTTTTGGCCTCCACGTGTCCCTGTTTTGGGTCTCCGTGAAGGAGGCCAAAAATGAGACGTGCGGAGGCCAAAAATGAGGCATGGAGGCCAAAAATGGGACATACAGAGGCGGAAAATAGGACGCACGGAGGCCAAAAACGGGATGCTCATATGCCTAAAAATGAGAGTGCATCTTATGGTCAGGTGCATCTTATGGAGCAAA